AAATAATAACGCACCTGCCAGTCCTTGTAATTCTGGCCCTCCTCGAAATCGATCAGAATTGAGACTGAGCAGGAGAGATGCGGGAATTCCTGTTGGGTAATCGGAGAAAATCTGCTATCGCACATCGCACTGAATTGACGTAGAGATAAAAGGGACTACTAACCTTGTAATCGCATATTTCCGAAGACCGCTATGAAGATTCATCGCCTTAAACGTTCCTATGCAACCGCGAAGCCTATGGTCTTTGCCATACGTCCAGGTAACAAAGAGAGGGCTACGAAAGGTCAGACAATTAAGCGCTCACTATGCGTGGTTTGGAAAAGTAGTTGGGTGGGGCGGTGGGTCCTGGTTAAATAATTGCTTGTGTAGGACATCGAAACAGTAAAGGCACATTTCCCGACGAATAATGCTGACTGTGGGACCGTTAGCCGGGCTGGGAGTGCTAATTTTCTTATCATCCTCCTCGGTCTCAACTCGCTGCTTCTTAGCTCCGAAACGGTAAGGCGTCATATCGAAGTTATGTTTAGACATCTTATAACAAGCGGCTGCTGCTCCGCCGACAGCTTCTTCGATAGGACTGTGGTTTACCAGCAGACGAGTTTGAACCTTGCGCATAAAAGACCTATTGTTTCATAAACTGGACAGATATAAATGTCAAAGCGAGCTATATTTTAATACAAGTTATAGCTCCCTGGATCGGTAGAAATGACTTTCTGTTTATGTCTTATTTTACTATAGATTTTTAAAGGGGTTTTAATACAATTTAGTGCAATGCAGTGGGTAAGTGGAAAGAGAACGGGACAGATTCGAGGAATAAATGGATTATTGTCAGCCTGCTAATACCTGCTGTTTCTTATTATTCAAATCGTGCCTTATTAGTTTATGGCCTCGAGTGTTCTGTAATATTCCGACCCACTGATGGCCAAATCGGGAAGCGTACCCCAACGCCTAGGGCGTGTCTGTAGTTTATGGGCCGTTATTTGTGCGTGAATCCTCTCGCTGGCGAATGTCAAATGCCGACGGCGTGTGCAAAAGCAACCGTGGGCTTGATACGGCAGCGCACAATAATGGGTTCTCTGAATTAACACTAGTGTTCTGCTGTTGTGTTCGCCTCCTGCATGTCGCATGCTTACGTCTTAACTACGCTTCAACAGATGGAAGTAGTGTTCGTTGTCTATCAAACTTGAGTACCAGGTCCGCGCAGGTATCACATTGAACTCCAATGCTCCTTTGCCCTCTGTGGTTAATCGGTCCTTGAATTGCTACACGTTACTTTTTAGTTTGTCAGTAGCGGTTTCCACCTGGGATCTAATGCCTCTGACTATCCTGTTAATGCCCTCAGCCCAATATTCCACTTTGATTCGTAGTTACATACCAATACCTATTCCCGAAAGTAGTGTCTTCGCTGTGGAGGAAATCAGATATTGTGTTTAGGTACTGCATGCGTACACCAGGCTGACAGCCCAAAGCTGTCCAGATGATGTTCAGCCGTCCAGATTACTTTTCAGGGTTGTTATACTGACAAAGAGGAACGTGTTGAGGTAGTTCTCTTAAAATCTGCATGTCAACTAGTTTGAAATTACCAGCGAAACACTACTCTACCGTAAGACTGAGGGCAGAAAGATTGGCGACTTAACATGTCATATTTACCATTTCTGGCACAAGTTTTTGAACAACGAGGAGGGAAACTGTTTGCTGTTATGGTCCACAATCTGTGTTTATTAAATTGGTTAGTATTAAATATGATACTAAATAGGTTTTCATTATCCTCTTCATAGTCAATCTTCGGAACCATTTTGTCCCCTCTTCTATCGGTCATCGTTGCCAACTGTTGACAACCTTGATTTGTTCCTCCGTTTTGCAACGCCGACGATGGTTTTGTTAATTATCGTGACGTGTTCTTCTGTCTTCGTCAGCTTGGTTGTGCCTCCGCGGTCTGCGAAGTCGCATCTCCGGAGCTTTGGTGATGAGCTCGTGACCTCTACTGGCCCCTTTTCGTTTCGACCCTGCTTTCCGCAATGAACTCCGGTTGTCTCCTATTCCTGATGGTTGTGAATAGTAGGTTTAGCTGTTATATGATCTCCCCTACAAAAAAGATCTCCCGAAATCTCATTCGTTATTATCAGCATCACAGTCTAGCTCACTGCATTATATTAATATAGATACTAGGCCAGAGTGACCATGCAATTCTCATGTGGGAATATAGTTTATTTTCTTTGCCTGCCCAACGGCAAGACGAACGACCAAATATTTGGCGTGGCGATTTTGAGCAGATGAAACCTGATCTCTGTTTCATCGACTGTACATCGCCACGCTCCGACAATGTTGACGAAGCTTGAGAACAATTCAAAGAGATAGTCCATAATCTCATCTCTACTCACTGCCCAATCACGCGCAGAAAACAGAAGAACAGACCTCGCTGGTTGACTCCGCACTTAAAAACGGAAGTTAACAAGAAGAGAAAACTGTGGAAAAGTGTCCCTTATTGATAGAACACCTGAATCTCTAAATAGTTACAAAGTGCAGAGGAACCAGGTCAAACGTCTCATTGTCAGAGATAGACAGATGTTCGAAGAGGATCTGTTAAACCGTGCCATGGTTAATCCCAAAGTCCTGTGCAGTCATGTAAGACAGAGCACGCGGAAAAAGGACCCTATCCCCTTATTGCGAACTGCCGAAGGCCGAAATCTCAGGGGGCAAGGTCAAAGCTGACCACCTCTCTCAGTTCTTCCGGTCCGTCGTGAAGACTGAACCCGCTTTTGCATCCCACACTTATGAAGACAATTCGATTCCATTTATTGATACAGTCCCCTTCACCGAAGACAAAATTAGAACTGAGATTCTAAATTTGAAAGAATCGACCTCCCTAGCCTCCGATGCAATCCCGG